GGGACAGGGGACAAAGTCAGCATAAATGAAGGCAAGGGAAAAGACAAGACAGGGAGCAAGAGTCAGTAAGGGCCTCGCCCCAAATGCAGGCCCCTGGGGGAGGAGGGCAACCCTTCTTACCTGGGTGGGATTGTAATGGGGGACCCGGCGGCTTCACTCCGCCTCAGGAAGGCTGCTAGGACCCTCAGCGTGTCCTCCCGCAGCCCCAGCTCCTCTGAGCCTGCCATGAGGCCACCTGTGAGAGAGGAGGCTGGGGGCTGGACCCCAGGATTCAGAGGGAAAAGGACGCTTGGTGCCCAAACTCTTAGTGTCTGAATGAGGAGGGGGCTGGGGGCTTGGGTTCCTGAGACCCCCAAGGGAGAAAGGGGCTGAAGGCCTGGGCTCTGGAGGGAGAAGGGAGCTTGGAACCAGTCCTCTGGGACCCTGGGCCAGGAGGGGGCTGGGGGCCAAACACTCAGTCTGATGGAAGATGGAGCTCGGAGCCCAGCTTCCTGGGTCTCTGGGAGGAGGGGTCTGGGTGAGGAGGTCTGGGGGTCCACGACTACTAGGTCTCAGGAAGGAGGGGGCTGGGGACTTGGGGCTTCTGGGTCTGGGTGAGAAGGATGGGGACCGGGACTCCTAGGTCTGAGGGCAGAGGGAGTTGGGGCCTCGGAGGTCCTCGTGGGTGAAGTGGGCTCCAACTCCTGGATTCTGAAGCAGACATGAACCAAGCTATGGACTCCTTAGAGGATCAGGGACTACCAGTCCCAGCAGCTTTGACGGCACATATCCCCCTTCAGTTTGCTTTTTCTCACCGCGTAGCCTGCTGGGAGTAGTAGTTCCACTAGGATTCATTCTGGATTCCTGGGGACCCCGGGACGCTTGGGTGTTGGAAAACCGGGGCTAGGGTCCCGGTCCTGGGCCCTGCCCCCTCCTCTTCCCTGCTCGCCCCGCCCTTACTAACACCTCGCTTACCTGGCCCCGGGCTCTGGCCCCGCCTCCGCCACCTCCTTCACTGGACGCGTGCAAACTTCTCTGTAAAAGTTCAACTTTCCCGCGCCTGCGCACTGGGCCTGGTTGTTGACTTCCCAGACGAGGCGGGGCGCTGCCCTCTGGCCGAATTGATTCGTGGAGTTCCCAGCATGCCTGGACCCGGAAAGCCTTAAAAGGACATGGGCGAGGGCTACAGGCTGACCGGACTGCTCTTTTTGCCCTGGAGCCTGGCACTCAAATGCAGGTAAAGTGTTCCTTTCAAGACGTCAACGGAAAGGAAAGCCCCACCGCTTTCGAATTCAACTGACAGGAAGGGGGTGCACGGTTTTGAGTTCAAGAGCTACCCGGATCCCGAAGACAGAGGGTCCCGTGTACCCTGAGCGCTGAGAAGACCATCGACGTAGGTAACGCGGAAGAGCTGGGGACAGAGTTGGTGCCATCTGGGAGAGAGGAACGGGGGAAAGTACTGGTAGAGCTGAGGGTGGCTGGGTTCTAGAGCGGAGCCACGTGGGTGCTGCTGGACGTGGGCAGGAGAGAGCGGTGTACACGGGTAGAAGGGAGGCAGGCGTCTACACTGGGGGTCTAGAGGGGGAGACGGTGTGCTTTGCAAATGGGAGGAAGTCCACGCTAGAAAGTGGGGGCGTGCCCTGGAGGAGAGAGCCTGAGTTGTGCATGGAGGTCCACAGTGGAATGGGGGGGAGAGGGTCTTTGGGGCGTGAACTACGGAGCGGGATCCAGACCAGGGTAGCTGTGCAGGTAGAGATTCACACTGGAGTAGCAGCCGCACTGAAATAACGAGGAAGGATGGCTTCTACCCTGGAAGTGTGGAGGGAGGGGTTTATAATGGAAGAAAGAAGGATCCACACTGGATGAATTTAGAGGGTAGATGGACTGCATTGAACGATTCAGGCACGGAAGGGCGTCCTCACTGAATTGGGGAGCTGCTCTGAGGAATGGGAGGTGGTCTGTGGGGCCGCTGAGCGCCAGCAGATGAGGTAGGTTTGCACCTCAAGAACCTGCGGGTGAGGGGTTTGCGCCGTGGAGAGGGAGGCCTAGCTGGGCCGGGGAGGTTTCACGCGCCGAGGAACTGCCCACAGGTTCGAGCATGGGGACCCAAAAGCCGCGGATTCTGCCCTGGCTCATTTCGCAACTGGACATGGGGCAGATGGAAGGTGTTGCCTGGGTAGACGAGAAACATACGCGCTTCCGCATCCCTTGGAAGCACCGCCTACGGCAGGATACGCAGCAGGAGGACTTCCGCATCTTCCAGGTGCTTGGGTCCAGGAAGGCGAAAGTCAAGAGTTGCGCGCCTGGCGGGAAGGGCTGTGAGGGGCGTGGCCGGGGCGGGATTAGCATGCGTGGAGCCGACCTGTGTGCGTGTTTGGGGCTGGGGCTGGGCGGAGCTAGGGGAGAGGGGCGGGGTTAGCATGACAGATGGCCTGACCGCAGGCAGTGTGCAGAGTGAGAACAGCATGTGAGGGCGGAGCCTGCACAGACTTAAAAGCCCTGTAGGTGGAGGTGGGCGGAGTTAAGTCGATAGAGGGCCAGGTGGTAACCCCCAGGTTCAGGGGATAGAGCCTGGAAGGTGGGATTAGAACACCGAGAACAAGCACCCTGGAGGCTGGGGACGGACTCTTGGTTGCATAATTTTGGGTGTGGGGTTCACTGCCCCAAAGCTGTCTTAGTTACTACCAAGTTAGGATACACCTGTGGTGTAGGCGGAGTTAGAGTGTGAGGGGGTGGGGTTATTACAAAGGGCATCCTGGGACAGGTGGTGGGTGAGTTGAAAAGTACCGTAGCACCTGGGAAGGCTGGGTTAGGAAGCAAAAGTTTTGGGTCTTTGCAGGGTAGGTCTTGGGGCATGAAGAATTAGAGTTTGGGAGTAGAGACTTATTCAAGTAGCACATGCTAGGGAGACGGTTAAGTGTGGAGTCCCCAGGGGTGAGATCAAAGTCGTCTCCCCTCTCCTGGCTCCCCCCAGGCCTGGGCTGAGGTCAGTGGCGCCTACAATCCCGAGAAGGATAGGCCAGACCCACCTACCTGGAAGAGGAATTTCCGGTCCGCTTTGAACCGGAAGGAGGTGTTGCGTGTAGCCGACGACCGGAGCAAGGACCCTCTTGACCCGCACAAGATCTATGAGTTTGTGACGCCAGGTGTGGAGCAGTGGGCCTTCGCGTGGGAGAGTGGGATGGGGGTGGGGAGCTGACACCCCTTCTGGGCTCAGAGCTGTTTTTTTTTTTTTTTTTTGACAGGGGTTAAGGACTTTCTGGATTTGGACACCTCTCCAGACACCAATGACAGGGGTAGTGCCTCTGACACCCAGGTCAGACAGAATGCACCCCTGCCCTTCTGTTCCCCTCCCTTCTCTCTATCCCCATGGGCCTATTTGAGGCTCATCCTGGTCCAGCTTCCTCTCCTGGCCCCCATTCTGTCCCCTCTACTCTGTCCCCTGCTTGACCCAGTGCTGAGGCCATCCCTCCACTACTCATACATGTCCCATAGCTTGCCAGTATCTCGGGAGAAAAGGCAGCGTTTTCCCTAGGAACCAAAGGCCTCAGAAACCCACTTGGGCATCCTTCTACCCTTGGGAGATCAGAGCTCCCTGACAGGATCGCGCTGATGCCCTGTGCCAGGGACGGACCCTTCCTAGCTTCTGTTTTTTTACCTTTGCCAAGGTCTTGCCAGATCTTCAGGATGCAATGAGCCCCTCCTTCCCCAGGACCATTGCTGGGGCTGAGCGCCACCCAGTGACCCCGTGACAAAGGGGCATGGTCCTCCTAAGGGTTCCTAGGCTGTCATCTTTGTGGGGAGCAGATCTCCAGATCTTCCTCCCACGGACCCCCGAGGTGGGTCGGCCGACCCTTCGGTCAGCGGCCGAGCGCGTGACCATGAGTGTCACCAGGCCCATCACAGTACCTGGCATGTGCCTTGCTGTCAGTGGCCATGGCTGCCTCTGCCATCAGGCTGGGAGACCCTTGAGGGCCAGGCTCCGTCTGGCTCTCCTCTGTGTCCCGACGTGGCCAAGCACAGAGCCTGTTCTGGTAACAGCTACACAAACACCTGACTTCTTTTCCCCTCAGGAAGACATTCTGGAGGAGTTACTAGGTGACATGGTCTTGGCCCCCATCCCAGATGGGGGGGCCTTGGGCCTGCCTGTGGCCGCTGAGCAAGCCCCTCAGCTATCGCTGAACCCCAGCGCAGACATCTTTTCTCTCTGCCCAAACGTGGCACCCTCAGAAAACCCACTGAAGCAGCTGTTGGTCCCGGAGGATGGTGGGTGCCAGCCGTGGAGTGGGAGGGGCCGGAGCGGGGGCCACAGACCCCCTGACACGCAATCTCTCTCTCGCCCTTCGTGCTGCCCACTGCCTCGGCTCAGAATGGGAGTTTGAGCTGACTGCCTTTTACCGTGGCCGCCAAGCCTTCCAGCAGACTCTCTTCTGTCCCGGGGGCCTGCGGCTGGTGGGGTCAGAAGCAGCAGACAGAACGCTTCCTGGGCAGCCTGTGATGCTGCCCGACCCCGAGGTGCTTCTGACCGACAGGGTGGCCGTGCGCTATGTGAGACATGTGCTTAGCTCCCTGGGTGGGGGTCTCACGCTGTGGAGGGCAGGGTGTCAGCTCTGGGCCCGGAGGCTGGGGCATTGCCACACCTTCTGGGCTGTGGGCGAGGAGCTACTCCCCGACAGTATCCACGGGCCGGACGGCGAGGTCCCCAAGGACGTTGGAGGAGTTGTGTTCGACCTGGAACCCTTCATAAAGGGTGAGTGAATCGGAGGCCTAGCTGCGGGGCCCGAGACCTTTGGGGTCCAGCAGTGTGGGATTGAATGGATTCAGCCCTGTGGCCCTACTTGCTGTGTGTCCTGGGACAGAGGAGCTGACTGCTCTGGACCCGTGTCCTCTCGCTGAGCCCAATGTACAGACAGTGTCACTTTCATTATCCTGAGTATTCATTAATGCAGTTGACAAGCTGGCAGGCGAGAGAGATCTGTGAGGCTTTGCTTTCTGATGGAACTTCCTGTGGTGGTGGCAAAGCTCTCTGTGGTGCCTGGTATGGTACCTGCAGCTGCGTGTGGCCACTGAGGGTTAGTGCAACTACAGGCGGGAGTTTTGATCTTATTTTATCTTGACTAAGTCAAGTTTAGAGTTAAGCAACAATGGTTATGCAAGGACTTTGGTGGTGCATTGGGTAAGTGCTCGGTTGCTAACCGAAAGGTTGGTGGTTCAAACCCACCAGACACGCTCCAC